ACAGCTGCCTCCCCTGGTCTCTGAGCTGCCCCCCTGCCCCAAAGAGAGGTCCCCTCTCCCACTGCCCCACAGCGGCCTGGGAAGCACCCCCTGGTCAGCACCAGAGACACCATTTGCCTGGGGAGCTTGTAGCCAGGGCTGCTGCAACAAACAGTTGTTCAAGCCTTTGGGAGGCAGAGATGCTAGAGGGCATCAGAGGAGGGAGGAAAGGAAAGAAGGACAGAGACCAGTGTTGCCCATTACACCCCTGACCATCATCAGCGTGTAGATAAGAGAAAAAATCATGATTACAGTGGTAGCTCAGGTTACATGCACTTCAGGTTACATACGCTTCAGGTTACAGATTCTGCTAACCCATAAATAGTACCTCGGGTTAAGAACTTTGCTTCAGGATGAGAACAGAAATCATTCTCTGGCGGCACGGCAGCAGCAGGAGGCCCCATTAGCTAAAGTGGTGCTTCAGGTTAAGAACAGTTTCAAGTTAAGAACAGACCTCTGGAACGAATTAAGTACTTAACCCGAGGTACCACTGTACTGGAGTGGTAAACCATGTACCTGTTACATAGTCAAACTGGGATACAGTTTCCAACAACCTTGAAATAAACCATAATTATTAAACCCTGTCATGTTCATATTTTGCCTTCTATTTATGGACGTTTCCATTTGAGTTGACTTTGATAATCATATTAACTACACACACACACACACACACACACACACACACCAAGCTGTGCCATGAGTGTATGTTTGTGTATTCATTCTGTGCAACTGTTTTGGAGCTGAAATCATGCCATCATTTATTCTTCAGACGGATGATTCAACATTTTGATATAAACCCCATGCAGTCATTGTTATCGTTCCTAGAATTCCTCGTGCCGTGATGTCAGCATCTGATGGGTGCCCCAAAGAAAAACAATGGAAACAGCTATTCTCACTTTGTTTTATAGTACAGTTTAAGACGCTTTGTGGTTTTTCTTTTCTCAGAAGAATTTCTCTTTTAGGCTGTGATGTCTTGTATCTGTCATTGAACAAATGAATAGCTAATGTTTTAGGAAGAATCACCAAGTTTCCAGTTGAAATGTTGCATGCCCATGTAGTGTAAAATAGCCTTCCTTTGGTACTAATGGGAGAGTTCCATATTAAACTTGGACTATTAATATCTGACTTGGTTGGTGATACACGTGTAAATATGTCACACCTTTCTCCAGGTCAGTAAACATCCAAAAAGCACCTGTATATTACTCTTATTCCTCTTGCTTGAAATAGAAGAGACATGGAGGATTTCTGTTTGTGGGAGAAATCTTCATGTTCCCAGTAGACAAGCCATGCAAACAAACAAACGAAAGGTAGTAATTATGCATCCTGGTAAAATGATGATGAACTGTACCATATTAAAGTTACCTTTTTCAGTTGTGTGTACACATGTGGTTTTGGTATTTGCAGAGCTTTGAATAGTTTGTCTGTTGGGAATCAGGTTTGTTTCTTCCACCAACTGGTATTTAAAAGGATCCGATTTGTTATATTCCTTTTCTGAAGAGGCTGGATTCCTGCGGTTGGCTGCAGTGAGCATTCAAAATCTAGCAAAGTTTGTAAACAGTCAATTTGGCATGGGAGGAATATGATAGTATGAGCAGAATACAGCGGTGCACTTGCCAACACTACACAAGAACCTTTAACTGAGGTCAGATTTTCAGTTGAGCGTTACTTCTGAGCATGTCACAAAAAATATGCAACTTGCATATGGTACTTTTTTATGGCAAATGCGATGGACTTTAACCATTGCGTATGCGGCATTGCCCTGTGTATAGCCAATGTTGTAAATTGAAACTTGGGAAAAGTAAAAGCTAATGGCTCAGAGCTTCAGAGAAGCTACCACCTCTACAGATTTAAGTTTTCTGGTTGTAGTGTTTACAGTGTTGAGTTTGACTGGGGAATCCTAGGTTCAAAAACCTCACTGACTGGATAGCTTTTGGAAATCACAGTTTTTCAGGTACACCTAACTTACAGGATTTCAGTGAAGATAAATGACTCAACCTACTATTGAAAGAAGCATGGGCTTGAGACTTGATTAATACATAAATGTAAAGAATCAGTTATGATGTTGGAGACCCAAATAATTTTAAGTGTCTTAGAGGTAAGGCAGGCAGAAGACTAACTTGGCTAAAGGCTTCTGGTTAACGATGTACTAGCCAGTGATAGTGCTTTTAACCTTTGATTGCTACACTAATCTGCATGTTTAAACATGTCTTTTATCCTTCTGGTAATGTTTTTTGTGGCTGTGTGTTGTGTACTAGGAATCTGGCAGTGAAATGTTTGTTAAGGACCAGTTGAGATTGTTTTTGGGGGGCTCCCAAAGTTCACAGGAAACTAGTATTTTGGCTGAAACAGAACAGATTCTTGGTTAATATTTGAGGTCTTAAAAAGTTTTGGTTAAGATTTGGATATTTAGACAAATCTCCCCTCCCTTCTGGGATTGAGCCCGTGCTATTTGTCAGAATCCTTCGTTCTTCACTTGGCACCTGCAATTTTTTTTTAATTGTAGGCTGGAGTAGGGAAGATTTGCGTTCTTAAACAAGTTCAGTCCTATATGAGGACTTACCTCAGTCATCTTATGAGGCTTCATTTCTTCTCTTTCAAATTGTAATGTCTTACCTGTCTGATTGAATGTCAGCTTTATTTTCAGTTTTAAAATGGCTTTCCACAACAGGAAGGAAAATGACTTTGTCTCTCAGCACTCACATAATTTTCCAGCATTGAAAGTAGATTTCATTTGATTGATCAAGTGACTAAAAGGAAATAAGACAGGGTCTCAAGTTATGGCTGAGTGGACTTTTGTTGGCATCAGAAGTTATTGATTGCCCCAGCTAAATTACGAATATTTTATCATTGTTCACCGAGCATAGAATGCTGTAATTAGGAGGGCTGTTACATTTCCCTTCCTTTCCATTTGCGTTTGAATGCTACCACTGAGAAACTGAAGCATGGGCAAATTTTAAAACAATATGTGTAATGAAGTGGTATAAAATAGGTATAAAACTACATTCTGGAGTTGGTTTCTACTGAGGAAAAGAGTGCTTGCGTGCATTCTTAGATCTATCAAACATTTTGCTGTCCATAATTTTCATGAGCTTGTTCTTCTATTGGTTAGATTATATACTGTTTACAGTTCATTAGGAAGACTATGTTTGCTGGAAGGAAAGGAATATTAATGGTGTAATAACACAGAAATATTATGAAGCAACTACTGTGTACTATGTTTATACCTTTCTCCAGTTCTGCAGCAGCTAATATGTTAATTGGCTGCTATCTAAGTAAAAAGTAAAGAACACTGCCAGTTCTTTCACCATGATTAAGGATGTGAACCATGGAAGTAGAGTCCTTTTCCTCCAGTCTTTCCCCCCCTTGCATGCAGAATTCACTGATGGTTTTAACTATGGTTAGTTGTTAATCTCTCTCCCTCTCCAAATTGTGTGTCTGTGTCTGTCTGTTCAGGAGATAGTGATCCTATTATTTATTGCTGACTGACACAGTTTAGCTCAATGCAAGGTTAATAACAAAAATAAACATGGTTGATGCTAATCAGGGGCCCAGTTTTTGCATTCACTGTGAACCAGAACTGAAATAACATGTTGGAAGAGTGGCTAAAGCAAACTGGAAGGTAGGGGGGCATTTTTCTGAGAGCAATGAGGAGTCTGCAAGACAGCAGCTCACGCCCCATTTCCAAGCCATGATTTGGAGATAAAAGATACAGTATCAGAACCAGACCTTAGTCTGGCACAACTTCCATTGAAATTGGTGAAACTTAACCCCAGGGGGATGAGTTTAGAGTATGCCTATCCCAGCTGTCCTTTATGCGATATGTCCCAAAACATATTGCAAACAGCTGGGCCACTGCCTAATAATTCTCTAGGGCCTTCTCTGAAGACTTTTTAAATATTATATTCCTGTTTACAAATCTCTCCACTAGTAGTTCATATTTAAATCAGTTCATGTGTTATCAGTTACAACTTTTGCATACATGTATGTGCTTTTATTCTATGTTGCATTCCATGCTCGGAGGATTTTAAAAAACACACTATTGTCTCTTGCTTGAAGAGGCAAGTCATACATAGTAAGTCTTTGTTTTTGCGCATGGTGTAACTTTAGAAACTGAATCCAGCTGGCAGCTCCTGAATGAATTTCTGCTTCATCTCCACCTTCCCCCGCCAACCCCAACTGAGTTTAGAAGTGATACTGCATATCTAGCTCTTGAGAGGTTGATGAAAGGGCATATCATCCTGTCAGGTACACTTAATAAGAGCACCCTGTGGCTTGCACAGAGAGGCCTTCTGTATGAGATCACATTTGTCTTTGAACCAGTAAAGATTTGCTTCATGTGTTACTCTTTCCAGAAGCTCTTCCTGAGGGCTATAGAGGCCGTGGCCTCACACAGAGTCAGGCCATTGGTCCACCTCAGTTGTGTGGTCAGGAGCAAGCCCCTAGCTCTTTGCCCCTTCTGTAACTTGTAACTAGTAATCGCCTGCCTCACAGGATTCCCAACAGACAGACCACTGTAAATCAGTCTGAAAAATGGTAAAATAACTGGTAGGTAATAGAAGTAAGTCTATGCCAGAACATTGTAGAGAAATACCAAGCTCCAGGTGGTTCATTTCACTTAAGCAAAAATCCAGAATGAAGTTCATTGCCCACCTTCTTCCAAATTGCCATCTTTTCTCTTACTTTCTGCGTAAAAATCTGATAGCATGATTTTGTGTTGTGTAAAAGTAAGAAAGCTACAACAGCAATAATGTCAGCGTTCTTTAAAAAAAAGCACTTAGGGAAGTTGCCTGAATTAATATTTGATTCTGTTTGAAACTGTTTCTAGAGGCCTAAATCAATAATTGCTGTGAGGACCCTGAGATGTTTTAAAGCTCCTTTGTGTGTCACCTGGCTTCTTGGTGTAGCTGTGGCTATTGTTTGTTTGAGTTATGAAGTTTTTGTGGCTTTTTTCCTCCCCTCAGCTGGGATGACAGCAGTTCTGTCAGCAGTGGGATCAGTGACACCATAGATAACCTCAGCACCGATGACATTAACACAAGCTCCTCCATCAGCTCCTATGCCAACACACCTGCATCCTCTCGTAAGAATATAGATTCCCAGGTAAGGTTTCCTTTCTATATCAGACATGTTTTAATAGTGTTGGAGGTATTCATTACTTCAGTGCCTCATGAGTCTGTGTATATTGTTGCTTTACCAAAAGAGAATTAAGGACTTATTTCATTTAAAGCTTCTGGATTTCAAGGCTGCCGTCCTAAAGAGTATACCCCATTCCATACAGTGGGACCTACTTCTAAGAAAACATAGATCAGTTTCCAGATTCTGATGTTTCCTGACTGCTCCTAGAGATCAGAGCAGAGACACGACAGGCTAGAATAATGAATTGTTGATGCCCCTATATGTTTTGGTGATTGCCATGTGCTTTTTAAAATTGATACAATATTTTATATGTTTGCTTATTTTATATGTTGCCCATGTTGCGCTACAGTAGGTGGCTTTCAGTAATATTTGATATGCCGATTCTTCCTTTCCCTGAATGAACTTACATTGGTCTGGATGAATGAAAGAATTGCCTTAAACTGTGGGTTAAGAGAGTATTGACTGTTGAACAAACATATGGGGGGGGGGGAGTAAGACTAGACCATTCTGCCTACCTCTGCCCCCCCCAAACCCATGTGTTATCTACGCATACACAACTGAACATGCCAAAGGTCCATATTCAAGATTAGAAACTTTTCTTTTCTTTTCATGGAGACTTCACTCATACATACCAAGTGTGAAATATACACAGACATCCTTTTCTCACGTTGTCACAAACGGAGGTTACATGCAAGGCCAACTATTTTAAAATAAAAACACACTTCACCTATTGGCAGTCTGTCTCAAGCAGTGTCTCAGCATTGAGAGTTTAAAGACACAGCAACCTTTGTCTGTGCTGAGGATCAGTGGCTTTTCAGCTTCCATAGAAATGTAACAATTAGGTGCTGAACATGAAAAAAGAAGTAAGACCACACACATCTAACAAATAGTTTTTTTCTTTCTTTGACACGGAAACTGTATAATCTACTATTAATTAAGGAATAGATTTTTAATTTAGTTCAAATAAAAGTGTAAAGATGATTACACTTCAGCGGAAATGTAAACGTGTCTACTTAATGAAATGCACTATTATTTTCCAAGGTTGCATGTTGTTACTAGCTATCCAGTCTTTGGCAGCGTTTCACAAGAAATTTATATTTAATGTCTGTAGGTGGCATTCTAGGAGCTTCCAGTGTTCCTAGCCAACAGATCCAAAAACAGTAAAGAATTTTGCATCAGTATGTAATTTGGAAGTTTTCTGTCCCCAAGATGAGCTGTAAGAATTTGCATTCTCTTTTGCTTTCCAAAGTGGATACAACCTGATTACATCTAAAACTTCTTTGAAGAATGCAATAATTAGGGGTTTTCACAAGTCAAAGGCAATTTGTTCATGCTTTCTAACCGTTGCTGTTTCGTAAATATTTCTGTGCTGGCTATTATTTCACTTCTTTTCTTTTCTTTTAATTGAAACGTGAAAATATTTTAATAGCAGTTTTAATATAACAGCGCAGTTGCCATGAAGTGTTACTCTTTGGTCTCTTGCCATGAAGTGCATAGCTGTGGCTGCGTTAAAAGAGTTTTGCCTCTAGTTGTGCTCAAGAGTTTTCATGTGTGTTTTAAATTGGTGGTGCCTAGCTGCCCCCACACCCCAGAAGAATTGATAACGGCAAGTTGAGGAATGTAACAATAAGAAGAGGAGTCCCAGACCAATCAGGGGCTCCCCACAAATCCTATGCAGTTCCTCTAGAAAGCAGCTAGCACAAGCCCAGGCTGTGAAAAGAGGGCAGGAGGCCACGCACCATGAAAATAAAGGAGAGCTAGTTTGGTGTAATGGTTAAGCATTGAACTATGACCAGGAGACCAGGATTAGATCCTCACTCAGCCGTGAAGCTCACTGGACCAGCCACTGCCCTCTCAGCTTAACATACTCACAGGGATTTTGTGAGGGGAAAAGGGAAGAATGCGGAACCATGTACAGCACCTGGAGCTTCCTAGTTGGCATAAAAAGGTTAATTAAATTATTAAGGAAATGAGCAGGGGGAAGAATGACATTGATGAATCAGTCCAGTCTTGGCCTTCCTAACTGAGCATTCCAGCCCAGGTGAGCTAGCAACCCTTAACCAAGGAGAAAAACAAATCATGTCTCTTTCCTAGGTGAGGGGGTGGGTGGGCCAAAACCCATGCCTGCTAAAGGTCAGAAGCACCATTGACCCCCAACCCAAAAAGAGGAACCAAGCCACAGCATGTCAGGGCCAAGGTCATGGTTTTATTAATACAACCAGTTTGCAATTAAAAACCAACTCCAACGGAGTAGGGGTTGCTGGAAGTAAAGCTAAAGTTTCTGGAGGGAAGCCTCTGCCTCACCTCAGGGCATGTGCCCTCACTCAGTTGCGAATTTGTATGAATACACTGTGAGGTATTAGCATCAGTGGGGACTGTGGGTTGGCATCTAGCCATTTTCATATACAGTGGTACCTTGGGGTTAAGTACTTAATTCGTTCGGAGGTCAGTTCTTAACCTGAAACTGTTCTTAACCTGAAGCACCACTTTAGTTAATGGGGCCTCCTGCTCCCGCCGCCGGAGCATGATTTCTGTTCTCATCCTGAAGCAAAGTTCTTAACCCGAGGTACTATTTCTGGTTAGCGGAGTCTGTAACCTGAAGTGTATCTAACCCGAGGTACCACTGTAGTGCCATCGCAAGACGAAATTAATCCGTTCCGCGAAGTCTCTTCGTCTTGGGGGGTTTTTCGTCTGCGAAGCAACGGCTATTAGCGGCTATTAACGGCTTAGCGGGCGGTATTAACTGGCTTTAGCGGTCTGTATAAGAACACACGAGAGACACAACTCCGCATAGATTGTCTGGGGTCTTGCGAGACAAAAACGACATAGGGTAAATCTCGTACGCCTTCTGTTGTTTAACGAGATGGAATGACTCTCCAAAACACCGAGTAGAAAAGAGCCGCTGTTCCGAGCCGCGCACGGGTATATGCGAGTTTTTCATCGGGGGTAGTTGGGCGAGAGGCATCTTCTCGCTCTCTTTGCGCCGAGGCACACGCATCAAGTAGTAAATTGTTGTGTATGGAGTAGAAGAATTGAGCACTCGAACTGAATGAGTCTCTTATCTTGCTGAGTGGCCACCTCCTCTCCTTCTTGAGCTATCCTCGAAACTATGCACATCCCGTGAAATGTGAAGCTGTACTGGGTATAGCTTTTCTCTCTTGGTGATATATTAGAATAATATTGCTTCCGAACTGTTCGACAACATTGAGTGCCATAGCTTTCTCTATGATACAATGTGATTTATAAGACACCATGATGTCATTTTTACGCATGGTGATCACCAGTATGATCGGACAGTGGGAATGGCTCCGTCACAAGGACTGTTTGTTGGACGCAGTGTAAGCCCATGACATGTGGCATGAGAGGGTAGTATGTTGTTATTTAAAAAATAGATTGTATATGTGTAACTTATAATAAAAGAACAATTACGGAAATACACAAAGTCCTCCTGTCCATTTCCAATCTCCCTCTGAAAATTGTTGTGTCATGGGGAGAAATGTTTGGCGTGCAGCCATTGCATCATATCGTGAGAACCTTATGGTGACTAAACCTGGTACACACCCGCACCCTATTTCATACAATTGATGGCCAGGTCAACGCTTTGAGTATTTTTGTAAAGATCAATCCCTCATTTGTTCTGAGAAAAATTCGCTCGTAATCATGGCAAAAATAAAATTTGTATCAATGAGTAATTTTTGCATTGTTGAAATGTTCATTTATGTTATTGTGAACAGCAAGGAGCCACGGAAATACAAAGACCTCTCATAGCCACTTAGCAGGAATCAAGAGGAGGAGAAGGCAGCAAAAAGAGTGCCGCAAGAGCTATCAGAGTCTAGAATATCCCCCTACAGCAGTCTCTGCAATTTGAGGTTTCGGCCAATCATGTGTAGCAGGTTCACGCTTTTTCACTATTTTGGTCACTTGTTGACTCTGGCTGTCACAAGCTAACTCGCGAAAAATCCGAGAGCTAGAGGGAGGAGTTCTAATATTGCAAATTCTCTATTTTTCAGGGACCGTTTATGGTCGTAACAGGCCTAGTGAGGAGGTAGCTTTAGATCAAAGAGAAGATGCACGTATACATAGATATTATGCGACTGCATAGAAAGGGTCGCTCCCTTTGGTCATCATTCATGAAGAAAAATAATAATACTTATGGTGAGCCTTCTTGCATTTGATGTGAGTCCAGCTCTAAGCATTCTCATTTTGGTAGGAAACTAGGGAGAGAAATTAAGAATTGAGGGAATAAATAAGCCAGGCTTTTAGAGAGATTCTAAAGGTAATCAAAAATTTTTTAATATTTAGTATACTTGAGTGGATGACTCGTGAGCATTGAAGAGCCACATCGTGAATAAGTACTCACCTCAGGTGGTTTGATGATAAAGTTAGAGTGAGGCTGTGTGTGCGGGATACGCACACAGTTTCAGCTCAATTAGCGAAAAGCCATAGCTTATATTCTTCATTCTCTCCCACAGATTCACATATCTCTCTCAAACAAACAAACAAGAAGAATACAAAAGACAAACCAAG